TCACACCTGCACCCGTTCTCAGGTCGCACCCAGCTGTGCCCGAGTTTACTCCTGACTCTGTGCTCAGGGGCCACTCTAAATAAAAATGAGCTAAATTCACAACATATAGTTTATTTCTTTGAGGTTCCAATAGATTAAAATTTAGCACATTTGAATATATCTGTCATCCTATTAGGTAACTGCAAGTAGTAAAGATAAACAGAAGTCAAACATTTCTGGAATCCCCGAAGTAGTTCTTTCTGTCCAGAAGTCTAAGGCTTTTGGTCCAAATCCTCCCTAGTTTTTGGTTTTCATTCAGGAGTCATACCCGGCACTGCTCAGGGGTTACTCCTGGCTCTTCATTTAGGACGAGTTCCTGGCAGTGCTCAGGGGACCATACGGGATTCTGGGGATCAAAACCAGGTCAGCCACATGCAAGGCAAATGCTCTACCCACTGTACTATCACTCTGTACTATCGCTACCAAATCTGCATTTTTTAATTTGATTTCCTGTTCCCTTCCTTTTTCATTTAGGTCACAATGAAAAATAAAACCGCTTCTTTAATTACAGTTCCGTGAATAATCTGCAACATGAAATTCAAATAAAAAGGACATAGGATTGCAGGTATGAGGCACTGGGCCTGGATTATAATGTTTTAAATTCTACTTCAGATTTACACAGATTCTGAGTGAACATTATTTAACTAATCCTATATTTCCATAGGGTTGGGATTTCAGCATTTCGTTTCTTGGAACTGTTTGAAACTGCTGAGGCAGCGTACTCTGCATGTGTGCCGATTCTGCTGCTCTGAGGACACTGCAAAGTCGGTCCGACTCCCTCCGAATAACCCTGCCCCTCTCACTACACCAATGGCGAGTCCTTCCCTCCTGGCCAGCGTCCGTTCCACACTCGGAGTCTGGACCCTGTCCACTGTCTGAGTTTTTCTTCCTTGCACCCCCTGAGTTGGTACTCCAGCTTACTCCTGGCTCTGTGCTCGGTGTTCAGCTTCCGGGAGCCATCCAGGGGGGGCGGGGACGGAGCCAGTTCCTCAGCCTGTGCTCACTCGCTGGGGCAGCAGTCTGGTTTCTGCAGACCCACAGAAGAGCAGGATCCTTCGGCACTTCCCTTCTCTTGGCCACTTTTTATTTATTTCACTTAACAAGAAACCCTCGGGTTCCCTCCAAAGTTGCAGCAAAAGGCAAGCTTTTCTCTTCTGGTAGCTGAAGCCATTCTATTACATGCACCGTGGTTTTTATTTAATACACTGATGCTATAGCACAGCGGGTAGGGCGTTCGCCTTACAAGAGGCCAACATGGCCGACCCGAGTTCGATTCCTCCGCCCCTCTCGGAGAGCCCAGCAAGCTACCGAGAGTATTCGATACGCCAGACACAGTAACAACAAAGTCTCCAATGGAGACGTTACTGGTCCCGCTCGAGCAAATCGATGATCAACGGGAGGGCCTTATTATTTTATTATTTATTACTGATCATTCAGGTAGTTTCCAACCTGCTGTGACTGGCATTGCAGTCAGCGAATGTATCTTTCTTCATGAAATGCTTTGTGTTTTTGGTACATAGATACCAAGAGGCTGCCGGCCGGGGCACGGCTGCCAAACCATCCCTCCTAAGGCATAAACACCGGCTGAAGAGAAAGCTGACGGCGGGGGCTAAGGACCGGGCTCCCGCAGAAGGCGGCATGAACCAGGTAAGTTTCTGCAGCCGCGCCTCCTTCCACTTCCTGGTACACACCACAGGTGTTTCTCCTCTGCTATGGAGTACTGTTCCCCAGAACCCTCAAGTGCAGGCACCCTCCGGCGGCCAAGCGAACCCTTCCTGGGAGCACCCGCAAAGCCCCAGCCGCTCCCCCACCTCCCACCTGCCCCCATCCCAGCCCTTCTTTCCTGCATCCTGACACGCTCTTAGAGAGAGTCCGGGATGCTTCTCCATCCTCCCTCTCCCCACACAGGGCGAAACCCAAGCGAGGGCAAATGTTTCTCTGATGGGCGATCTCCTTTATCTGCACTGACTAGGATTTCATTTGATAGAAGCAGATAATCCAGTAAAAATGCTAAGTAAATGCTGGATATAAAACAATGACGTTATCATATCCATCTACTGGCATGAATGGGAAAATCCATTACTCATGAGAATCCGACTGCCATTCCGTGTCTGCACCATGTGCTCGGCTTGAGGCTACTTTCCATGACGGGACAACCGGCTCCGTTAGTAGTATCTTCACGTCACCATACTACCAGAGCACCTGAATTACGGAATCACTTAATCACTTAAGTGAATATGATCACTTAATCACTTAACTTCCCGTTAGCCGTCGATTTGCTCGAGCGGGCGCCAGTAACGTCTCCATTTGTCCCTGTCGCGTGCTAGTGTAGCCCAATGGCATCTCTTCGCTCCGGGAACATGGAGGGCCTCAAACCGATCGTTCATGATCTTGACAAAGAAGTCTGACCATCTGGTAGGTGGGCGGCCACGCGGTCTCTTGACATCCCGTGGAATCCAATCAGTAACAACTCTAGTCCAACGGTCGTCTTTAAATCTCATTACGTGACCAGCCCATCTGATTTTCGACACCTTGGCAAATGAGACAGCGTCCCTGATCCTTGATCGTCGACGGATGTCAGAACTCCGGATTCGTTCTCTCATTTGAGTGAAACGTGATATTCCAAGCATAGCTCTTTCTATTCTTCTTTGGGAGACCTGAATGGCGTTCTCATCTTGTTTGCGTAGGGCCCAGGTCTCTGAGGCGTATGTTAATGCAGGAAGAACAGTGGAATCAAAGAGATGTGCCCGGAGCCGGAGGTTCTTCGTCCTCTTAGCTATTTCTTCGACGTTCTTGAAGGCGTTCCAAGCCGCTCTCTTCCTCCTGCGCAGCTCGGGTGCCAGGTCATTTGTCATGTTGACCTCTCGACCTAGGTACACATAGCTGTTGCATTCGGAGATGGTCGTTCCATTGAGAGCGAATGGGGCGTCAGGAACAAGGCTGTTTCTCATAAACATTGTCTTCGTAAGATTCAGCTGTAGTCCTACCTTTCCACACTCACGGTCAAAGTCGGCCAGCATTTGTGCCACTTGGCTGATGTTTGGTGAATATGATCAGTGGCTGGTAAAGACCTGAAATCACTGAAAATGCAATACTCTTCTACTTAAAGTCAAATAATTCATCCATGTGTGACACTCACTTCTGATTTTCTAGAAAACAGTTTCCTAAAGTACTGAGAAAATAACAAGCACACCAATGCTACAGATAAGTCGGCGTCTCTGAGATCTTACAGCCACACACTCCAGAAGGTTCAGTGTGCCGGGAAGCAGAGCCAGCACTCTGAATGTAAAAATAACCTGGCAGCCAGAGACCAAAGCAGCACCTGATACTACAAAGCAATAATCGTATTATCACTCACGGAGGAAAACACGGTGCTCACAAACGTCCTAGGAAGAAAGGAAAACTGTCAAAACACCCAGAAGGTGCTATTATCTTAATGCCGAGAGAAGAGCTATTAGTCCTGATGTTTGTGGACAAACAAATCAAATAAACATCAGGCAGGATCGCAGGCGGGCGGGGGTGTAGGAAAGGAGCAGCGTCCTCCCGACCAGACTCTCACCGCCGTCCAGTGGGAGCCGCTGCCCGCGCCTGCACCCGGCCTCCTCATCCATCCTCATGCAGGTGAGGAGACAGGCCACAGCAGAGCAGCCTCTGCCGCAGAGGACACACGGCCCTCGGGAAACGCCCCCGGGACGCCACTCGGGCACTTCCCGTCCTCTCCTCCTCCTCCCCGCGGTCTCCTATCAGGGTTCTCCCACCTGCTCCCCTTCTCACGTGCCAAGCGTGAAGCGGGGGACACTACCAGAAGCCCCCTGGCTCAGGGGCGGCCAGGTGTGAACTGGTGTTTGCCCGCTGCGTGCTCCGGGACCTCCTCCTACTGCCCCGGTTTCCTGTGACCCCACACTCGGCCTCGGGATCCCCTCCCCGCTAGGCGGCCACAGCGGAGGAAGCTCCGGCCTGCAGCAGACGCTATGCGCGGGCACTGGCCTTCCTACGCTGATTCTGCTCCGTGTCTGCTAGTGTTGCGCCCGCACCAATCCTGCCGTGGCACTGCTGTCGTTGCCCACCTGCAGGGCCAGAAGCCCCCACCCCCTTCCCTGCACCTGCCTGGCCCTGCAAATCTCCAGCTGGATTTGGGTTTGTTCCCGCAGGGGACACCTAACCCCTCGGCCGGGAGATCACCTGCTCTTTGTCCTTCTCATCCTTCCACGTGCCGAGGGCTTGGAGGCCGGCCACACCTAGCAAGGCTCAGGCCGCTCCTGGCTCTGTGCTCAGGGACTGCAGGCCAGCCCCCTGCCCCAGGACTAGCCGCCTCTCTGTTCACGCGCATCCTGCTGGGCACCTCGACCATCGGGAGCCTTGCTGCAGTGGACACGCGTGTCTCCCCCTGCACGGCCGTGCTGAGTCCTAGCCAGACCACCCTGTCCTGATAGGGCACGGCCATGAAAATCAACCACCATTAGTGGGTGGGGCGCACGTGCCCACACTGCCAACGAGAAACCAGGGCTGGGGAAACAGCAGCAGGGAAGGTGCCCACCTGGCACACAGCCAGTGCCAGACAGATCTGCCAAGCGAGGCCGAGACCCCAGAAAAGGAGCCAGGAAGGCTCCAGCCAGACTGCCCCCCTGACATACAGACCCTCGTGTTGCACAAGTGCCCCACTATGCCACAGCTCCTCCTTTATTATTGTTATTATTATTATTATTATTATTATTATTATTAGCAATAGCACAGCAGGTAGAGCGTTTGCCTTGCATGTGGCCAACCTGGGTTCAATTCCTCCACCCCTCTTGGAGAGCCCAGCAAGCTACCCAGAGCATCCCGCCTGCATGGCAGAGCCTGGCTAGCTCCCTGTGATGTATTCGATATGTCAAAAACAGTGACAACAAGTCTCACAATGGAGACGTTATTGTGCCCGTTTGAGCGAATTGATAAACAACGGGATGACAGTGCTACAGTGAATTAGTGCATTATTATTATTATTATTTGCGTGTCATCCTTGCGCAGGGGCCATGCTAATCTTCTCTGTATCGCTCTCTCGGAGAGCCCGGCAAGCTACCGAGAGTATTCGATATGCCAGACACAGTAACAACAAAGTCTCCAATGGAGACGTTACTGGGCCCGCTCGAGCAAATCGACGATCAACGGGAGGGCCTTTACCTTTACCTTTATTATTATTATTATTATTATTATTATTATTAGCACACCTACCCAACAGGTGTTTGGTAAAAAATTTCAACGTCTAAAAAAAATTCTTGCTGGTAAACCATTTTGATCTTGTTTGGTTGGTGGGCCACACCCAGCTGTGTTCGAAGCTCGTTTGTGGCTCTGCACTCAGAGACATTCCTGGCAGTGCCCCGGGGACCTGAGGAGGTGACAGGCAGGGATCACACCCTGGTCAGCCATGCGCACGGCAAGCGCCCCAGCCTCTAAGGACAGAGTATGTCTCCTCAGAGACCACTCATAATGCTGAATGTTCAAGAATATTAAAGATTGGTACATAAATTACTTCTGAAAATGAGGAATACAACATAAAAAAACAGTAACAACAAAGTCTCCAATCGACGATCAAGACAAAAGTAAAGGTAAAAAAAATAGGTAAAGGCCCTCCCGTTGATCGTCGATTTGCTCGAGCGGGCCCAGTAACGTCTCCATTGGAGACTTTGTTGTTACTGTGTCTGGCATATCGAATACTCTCGGTAGCTTGCCGGGCTCCCCGAGAGGGGCGGAGGAATCGAACTCGGGTCGGCCATGTTGGCTGCGTGCATGGCAAACGCCCTACCGCTGTGCTATTGCTCCAGCAAAGAAATATTTAATAGGATATATTAAGTTTCTATTGTTCAAAAAAGAAAGCATCTGTTTACCTAGAATGTTTAGAAAAACCCTTCATTATTATAGCTACGTACATATATTATAAACATTAATATATTTATATTTTCATCAACAATATTTGGAAATGAGCCGTTACCAACTGGATTCCGCAGGATGTCAAAAGACCGTGTGGCCACCTACCAGATGGTCAGACTTCTTTGTCAAGACCCTGAACGATCGGTTTGAGGATCTTCATGTTCCCAGAGCGAACAGATGCCATTGGGCTACACTAGCACGCGACAGGGACAAATGGAGATGTTACTGGCGCCCGCTCGAGCAAATCAACGATTAACGGGAAGTCAAGTGATCAAGTGATCAACAATATTCAGAATAACTGCAAATGTATAAAGAATCCAAATCTTATAATACTTTCATTTATGTCATAAATGTTAAATCTGCAGTCTGCCCCCGCGCCTGGCTGTTCCTCGCCGGGGCCCCTTGGGGGGGAGCGGGTTGAGCTTTCCTCCCCGCCCCGACCAGGGCTCCGGCAGCCAAAGACCTCCAGGACCAGCCACCACCATGCTGAGACCACTCTCCGCACACATGAAGGTACTGGCAGAGGGACAAAGCCACGCGGGTTCCGGGGCCGAGACCTCCAAGCCTACTCGGATCGGGGCTGAGCATCCTCCACCCAGATCCTCCAAATTCCAGTAGGCGGGGGTCACACCACCACCTGGCCCCCTGGCGCCGTGTAATCCCATCAACGGCCAAGACTCAGAGACTATAAAATCCAGCTCCCGGACGAGAACAGTGCAGTTCACTTTTATTGTAGTAATAATATATAGTGTGGAAAAATTAAAAATATAAATTAAAAATACTAAGTTGAATCACACTACACCAAAATCAGACTTGTTTGCATATCATGAACATATGCTAACTATAGTCAGTACACGCTACATGTACATGGAACTAGAATCCTATTCTGTAAAGTTTACGCTGCCATTCTATATAAAGTTTTGATCTTTAAAACTAGACATATTATTATCATGTGTATAAACAACAGAACATTCATTTTACAATCATGCTGGCCATGCCACAGAGCACATATGCTCTATTTTGGACTTCACTGGCCAACAGACACACGCAATAATGGGCACGCTTGCAGATAGAACAAATAAAGCAATACAGAAATCAAATGTGCTAAAGGGAACATTCTTCCTTGCCCCCATTTCCAATTCCACACTGCACTCGGGATGTTATAATTTTTTTTGCAAGAACAAGGTATATTAGAGCAAAGTTTAAGCGTAAGAAGCCCGAGAGTTTGAGAATAAAACTCTTCCACCCTTCCAACATCTTCATCACCCACAGAACCGAGTGTGAGGGTTTACGCACTCGCCCCTGAGCGGGCTTTAGGTAGCCTCAGTGTTATCTCGGTAAGAAAGGCAATTTAAAATCTCTGGCATGCACACCCTCAACAACATTATCCCTCCTTTCAAGAAATGCTAACGTCCCTCAAGGGAAAAGGGAACCCTCTCTACCTTGCAGAAGCTCAGCCTCACACATGTGCCTGGGCTTTCCTTAACCAGCCACCATCAACCAGGAAGATATTCACAGTGGAGGCCTCTAAGGGAGAGGAGACAAGACCCTGGGTCCCAGAGGGGGAAGCCACGCCACCCACCACCCTGTAGTCCCGCTTCCCTGCCCAGCACTGCTGCTGCGTGCGAGGGTTGGAATTCTGCCAAACTTCCCAACATATTTGGGCAGAGGGCTACAGCCCCAATGATCACTTAATCACTTAATCCCCGTTATTCATCGATTTATTCGAGCGGGTGCCAGTAACGTCTCCATTCATCCCGGTTGCGTGCTAGCGTAGCCCAATGGTATCTGTTCGTTCTAGGAACATGCAGAGCCTCAAATCGATCATTTAGGGTCTTGACAAAGAAGTCTGACCATCTTATAGGTGGGCGTCCACGTGATCTTTTGATGTCCGGTGGAATCCAATCAGTAATGGCTCTAGTCCAGCGGTTGTCTCCACCTCATTACGTGTCCAGCCCATCTGATTTTTGATGTCTTGGCAAATGAGACAGCGTCCCTGATTCTTGAGCGTTGACGAAGATCAGAACTCCGGATTCTATCTCTCATTTGAGTGAATCGTGATATTCCAAGCATAGCTCTTTCTATTCCTCTTTGGGAGACCCGAATAGCGTTCTCATCCTGTTTGTGCAGGGCCCAGGTCTCTGAGGCGTAAGTTAATACAGCCCCAAGTTCCATCATAACTTGGGCGAGACTCCCGACTGGGGAGGGGGAGGGCGGGTGTGGGAGGCCAGGTGCTGTCTCCTTCGGCAGCAAGTGTTCAGTTCCCGGCTCCAGCGCTTACATACTCCGCCAAGGCATGCGTGATGCCGAGCACAAAGCTGCCCACATTTCCCCTCTCCAGATGTGGACTCACCCCTTCCTACCTGAACGCTCGGGTGCTGGGCACTCCTCCACTCGGCAGAAGAGCTCTTTCCTTTCCTCTCCCTCTCCCCCTTCCTCCCTCTCCCTCCCTCTCCCCTTCCCCAGCCTCTTTTCTGAGAGAAAGGTGACCGACCCCAAAGGCCTGGGTAAGGTCTGGGCTGACTTTCCTGTCCTGCGAAGAGCAGGGCTCACAGCTGACTCTGGCCAGCAGGTTCCCTTCTGGAGGCTGCCACCTCTGTCCCCCCCGGTTCACATAAGTCACGGGACAGGGAGCCTGCAGAGTGGGACCCCACCCCCACGCTGACTCCCCCACCCACCCGTTCCCCCAGCCTGCCCCACCCCCAGCATGTCCAAACAAACTCACTCCATACTGCTTGTTACAACAAAACGGCAAGTGGAGTTATCAGAAAGTAATCAACAGAAGTCAAACGATCATCTTTTGATGTTCATTTCTGGTCATTTTTGTGTAGATAGGGACGCATAGTGTTACGCATTGATTTCATCATGGACATTGTTATTGGTTACATTTGTTAAGCCTAACCCTTTCATTGGGCTGGAGCAATAGCACAGCGGTAGGGCGTTCGCCTTACAAGCGGCCAACATGGCCGACCCGAGTTCGATTCCTCTGCCCCTCTCGGAGAGCCCGGCAAGCTACCGAGAGTATTCGATATGCCAGACACAGTAACAACAAAGTCTCCAATGGAGACGTTACTGGGCCCGCTCGAGCAAATCGATGATCAACGGGAGGGCCTTTACCTTTAACCCTTTTTTATTGGTGTTTTTTTTTTCTAATACATCACACGTCATCTGAAAATAGTGACACTTTAGTATCTTCCAAGTTTATATGCTTCTTATTACTTTTTCTTGCCTCCTCTCTCTGACTAAGCCTTTCACTAGCACTTTTTGAATAGCAGCTGCAGTTGACAGGACCAGTTGGCTACGGCCCATCCCCAGGCCAGCGATGCGGGGGAGGTGCTGTCACTGATCCAGGTGTGTTCCCTCTGGGCACTGAAGACAGACCAAGTCACAGACACGGAGGTCAGGTCACTTCCCTTACTCTGCCCAGACAACCGTCTGCCAGCGGCCAGTCTCCCCATGTGAGGAGCGTTTCCCAACTCTCTCGGCTGTCATTCCACTGCCTCCACTACCCAGCCGTCGCCACACTCCAGGATGCTTTCCGGACACTCGGGCGGAGACTCATGCATGAGTGAAGCCCCACAGAACAAGATAACGGAACTCTGAGACCTCGGACTCCAGGCTCAATGGACCCAGGGACAGAGATCCTCTGCCTGCTCCCACCAACCACAGGTGATGAAGGGATTAAAACCAGGAGCCCCACCCTACCCTGCCCTGTCTGCTTCCACCAACCACGGGCAACCCAGGGATTGGATTATGCACAGAAGACCACCCTACCGGTACCAGATAAATACCTCACCAGCAGACCTCCACTACTTCCACTACCTCCACTACCCACTCTCCAGGACGCTTAACAACACATCATAAGATACGTAATACCCATCTTCCAGGATTGCCACACCATATTTGATAGGGTTCAAATATGGTTTGAACCATGGGAACACCTGAAAGGGCGATTAGAGACCGCCCTAAAAGTCTCTATCCTCTCGGAGAGCTTGGCAAGCTACCAAGAGTATCCCGCCTGCACAGCAGAGCCTGGCAAGCTACCCGTGGCGTATTCGATATGCCAAAATCAGTAAATACAATGAGTATCATTCCCCTGACCCTGAAGGAGCCGTAGCACACAACAGGGATAAATGGAGACGTTACTGGCGCCTGC